GTGCACCAAATATCCTTAAACTTTCCAAAAATTACACGATTTACGTCTGAGCATTTAAATAAACACAATAATTTTGGAAAAAGGGTATTTTGAAGAATGCATAAGGATCAGATAAATCATACTTGTAATTTTCGTGCCCGAGAACAACACACTCTCTATCCAACATTTTAGGAACAACAATGCAACATTTTTAAATTGTTTATAGATATTTGGTACACTTTTCCATATTATATTCAAGGGTATAGACGGTCTTTTCTCTTCCCATAAATTGTACTCATTTTACAACTTATCAAAGGGACCCTTTTAGTGTATGTCTCTAGCTAGCTGCGAGAGAGTGGGAACCCAATGCCATGGCGTTTGCTGGGGAACGCAATGAAAAGAATGCTACACACAAACCCAACGCACGCCGGCAAAATCGCCAGAAGCTCCTCCGTCTCCGGCGACGGCGACGGGTACAGACAGTTCACGACGTTCTTGTCCAGCAGCGCCGTGGCGGCGAAAACAAGGACGGAGTTGACGGCGTGGAAGAAATCCAGCACCGTTATTCTCCGTTTGGCCGCCTCGTCGGGGGAAATCGTGGCGGAGGCCGACAGGTCGAGGACGAGGAGTCCCCGGAACGTGGCGAGGGCGTAACGGACTTTTCCCCTCTCGTCCCTGAAGCTGTCGGTGAAACAGAGGACGAAGCAGGACGCGGCGCATCCGGCGAGGAGCGCCACCGTCAGGGACTGGCTGACGGCGGACGCGCATCTGCCTTCGCGGCTGAGGACGGGGGAGAGAATCTGGAATGCCAAAACTGTCCCCGTCGGGAGGAGGTTCGCCAGGTGGGCCGTCCCTTTGAAGGCTTTTCTCACCGCCTTCTCCGACGGCGATTTCTTCGGCTTCTTATTTGTTTCTTCATCGTTCTCCTGCTGCTGTAACAATGGCAACCCCAGATTTTGCTCTTCTTCCTCCATAAATTAAACGAAGATCTTCGGATTTGAAATCAAGTTTCAAATCCGAAGATTTCTTAGGAAAATAAATTGTTTTTTTTTTCTTTCAAAAACAAGAAATGAAAATGATATGAATCCGCGATTATAATTGGAAAAAAGTTCATATATGAAAATAGATTGGTGGACGAGAAAGGAGGGACTTAATGGGCAATGGATCGTTCTCCATAAAATCCGACATTATTAGTGGGTTTTGAGGTTTAATTAGCTAAATAAAAATAATTTAAGCATGATTTCTAAACTGCTCCCTTTAATTAATTGTATGCTCTGTACAGGGACTGAATATGAATATTCTGTTACGTATGTTGAATTAAATTTTAATTTGTAGGGAGCACGTGATTACTACTCGTATGTTTTAATTTGTTTTTTCGTATCATAACATCACTCTTAAATTAACTTATTTTAAAACGTGCAAAAAAAATCAGATAACAAAGAATATAAGTTATTTAACTACTCCGTAATATTTAAAATAGAACTGTTTAAAAAATTACCCCGTAGAATATTGTGCAAACAAACATAATTACAACAACAACAACTCAGTTAAATCCCACAAGAGTAGGGTCTGGAGAGGGTGTGTGTACGCAGACCTTGCCCCTACTCGAAAGTAGAGAGGCTGTTTCCAAAGAGACCCCCGGCTCAATGTCGAAAGTTGCATTGCTTGACTAACTGCTACTTCATTAATTAAAGAAGCGCAGACAATTTAGAGATCCATTTTGATTTATTCCATCACACCCCAAAGCCAAAAAATGGTGAAATTTTGGCTCCATCAGAGATGATGGAAGTCAAACAAACATAATTAGTGCAATCAATTATATATGACATAATCATACTGTAAAATTCGAAGGAGTGTATCTGAGAGTATAATTTTGATTTCAACATTTTTCATTTTTGTTATTTCAAAAGTATAAAATTTATTCAACATTTTTTATTTTTGTCCAATATTTTCTATCCCATTCCTGTTTTTTCAAACTCTTTCCTTTTTTTTCTAGTTCCTTTTAGTTTTTTTCTTGAGTTCAATTGCAAATAGGTTTGATGGTCTATTCTGCTATGTACTTTCGTTGAGAGGGAGAAGAAGGTGACATTAGGAAGCTATGAGTGACATTTTTTTATTTTCATAATTTTTTGTAATTGAGAAATTCAAAATCCAAGAGTATACTCAATGTTTTGGGAGCGTCGCCACAATTTGCTAACAAAATTGACAGAAAATCAACAAAATTTGGATGAGAAATTTATCTAAAAACGACTAAAACATAATGACTTTTCAAATATAAGACCATATGTTTTTATTTTCAAATGTAGGACCTTTGGTCATTATCAAAAAATGTCTCCCACTAGACATTATTAAGTCGTATTTAGGGAATAAAAAAATTTAAGTCCTACATTGAGAAATGACTTATGTTTTAGTCCTATTTAGTGCAAAGTTTACAATTTTGGATATCACACCGAATATCAAGATATGGTAATTATTTTCTTTTATTTTATAACAATACCAGACATAGTGAATGTTCTAAATCACTTAGCTTGTTTTTTGTCATTATGAAGGAGTACGTTAATGGATAAATTTATATATCCACCCCTTGACACAAATATGAAGTTTAATTTAATGATAGATCTAAAAAAAAATTGGGAAATGATATTTGCATTTCTTTTTTTTTATATTGACACTCCAAAATATACTATTCGTCTCTCGCATTAATAGTACATTTTGGAGTGCAAATAACAGAAAAAAATGTAACATTTCCCGGAATTTCCATTCATGTTGGGGTTTGAGTAGCATTTATCTTGTAAGACTCATTGCAGATAGGTTTGATGGTTTATTATTTTGCCATGTACAACTTTCCTTGGGTGGAAGAAGTAGGTGACGTTAGGGATTATGAGTGCCATAATTTTGTTTTCTAAAACTTTTGTCCAAGGAAATAACTTTGTACTCCTTCCTTGCCCATGTTTTCTTCTTAGTCACAATTTTTTTTCATGCACAATTTCACTCTTATTTTGGCATTTAAGTTTAATTTTTTTCCTTATTTAGAGAGATTTCATATTTGGAATCCCAATTTGACTGGAAATGAACAATGTGGACTTATTCGAATAATGCATGAAGGAACGGTTGGAGGTACTAATCTAATCGAATGTATGTAGCTCCGTGATGGGGTATGGTGTCCTACACAAGGAGTAACTCCTCAATTGCAAATGGGCCGATCTCTATTATTCAACCCACCCTTTTTCGGCCATTTAAATGCCCTGTCGAGGGGGACTAGTAAAGAAATGGTCTGTATAGTTAAAATTAAGTCATATTTAGGGAATAAAAAAGTTCAAGTCCTACATTGAAAAATGACTTATGTTTTAGTCCTATTTAGTGCAAATTTAGTTCTATTGAGAAATGACATTATTAAGTCACATTTAGGAAATAAATTATATACTCCCTTCGTTCCAAAATGTTTGTCGTTGTTACTATTATGGTCGATCTCTTAATAATTTATTTATTCTTTATATTTTCATTGATTTGAAAAAATATATTTCCATAATCCCCGATGGAGGCAAACTTTCATTTTTTTCCTTAAAGATGTGATGGAATAAAATAAAATGGATCTATAAGTTGTCTCCGATTCTATAATTAATGAAATAACATTTGGTCAATTAATGCAACTTTCGATGCTGAGTCGAGGGGGTCTCTTTGAAAATAGTCTCACCGGTCAATTAATGCAACTTTCGAGTAGGAGTAAAGTTTGCGTACACACATCCTCCTTATACCCGGCCTACTCTTGTGGGATTCAATTAAATTGTTGTTGGTGTATTGATTTGGAAAATAATATATTCTTATCATATACTCCCTCCGTCCGGGAATGATGTTCCCAGTTTGACTTTTCCTCATTTTAAGGAGGGTTGACAATGAGAAGAAAATGTCCAAAATACCCTTTTGCTAGCATTACTCCTGCCCTCATCAGGGCACTACCACCGCTCCAATCAATGCCGCCGACAACCCTCACTACTACCGCCGGCCCTCTCAACTGCCGCCGCCCCCATCGCCTCAATCTCCAGCATAATTGCCAATCCCATTAGACCCACCCCAAAATTCAAGATTTAAAAGACTGATTAATAAAGTGGAGAAGAAAAACATATGCCCCGTCGTCGCTAGCCCACTATCGCGGCTGGCTCTACGATCGCATCCATCGATTGTTGTAGATCTCGCAGATCTGGTAAACAAGCAAACATGAGAAAGAATGGAAAGAAGAAAATGAAGAAGAAAAGGAAGGAGCAGTTTTGGAGAAAAAAGGGGCCGAATGGGAAAAGAAAAGAAGAAATCTGATCCAAAGAATGATTTGAAGATCTAGAGAAAGAAAAGAAGGCAAAAAAGGATAGGGGGTGAAGACGAGGGAGAGGAGAGAGAAGTAGAAGAGAGGTGGAGAGAGAATGAGAGAGGGTAGAAGAAGAATGGCAGAGGTCTGAGTGAGAAAAGGAGAAGAAGAAAGAAAATAGAGTAATTGGGTGGGGGTATTTTGGGTAGTTTATGTGTTAAAGAGTAGAATGAGAACATCATTTCCGGACGGAAAAAAACGTACAATAGGAACATCATTTCCGGACGGAGGGAGTATTCTTTTGTAGAACTTTTACTTCTATAACAATTTGAAACTAAAATAATTTTAAAAGTGACCGAGTTTTACATGTTATAGAGAGAGTGACAAACATTGTCGGACGAAATAAGTATAATTAGATATCAAACCAAAAATAATTTAATGAACTTATCTTTTAAAATATTTTTAAGATACTATTTTATCTAATTACGGAGTAATACACTACGTACCACATAATTTTTTTAATTTAATTATCTATCAAATATTAAAATCTAAATAATTTTAGAAAGTTAAAACTACACAAAAAATTTGAAAGGAATGGGAATATCAAAGGGTGTCTAACTAAAGAGAGGACCCACATGCCACCTTGGAGTGACAAAGAATTTCACATTAAACAACAATACAGTTCCATCTCCTTTTCAAATGTCGCATTTTTCCCATGATACACACAAACAAACAAACGCACGTTTTTCTTCCCTCCGCCGTTTCCAAATGCTCCATCTGCAAATTCCCACTACCAGAGACCCCATTTCTGCAACAAAACAAATCCTCTGTGCCACTTCCATGTCTACATATAATTAGCATGGAATCATCTTCCATGCAAATGCAACTTTCAATGCCCATTCGTTTCTTCTTCCTCTTCGTCTTCACTGGTTTAGTGACTGTTCATCTTCCTCTCGCCGTTTCTGGGTTGAATCAAGAAGGCATTTATCTTCAAAGGTTGAAGCTCTTCCTATCCGACCCCACGGACGTGTTTTCCTCTTGGTCCGAACGCGATCTCACCCCGTGTAGCTGGACCGGAATAGGATGCGACGCCGGCGGCTCTGTCGTCTCCGTCTCCCTCTCCGGCTACTCGCTCGCCGGCCCCTTCCCGGTCTTCCTCTGCAGCCTTCCGAGTCTTTCTTCTCTGAACCTTTCAAACAATTCCATTAACTCTTCACTCCCTCACTCCATTTCTGAATGCAGCAAACTCGTCAGTCTCGACTTGTCGGAGAATCTCATCGGCGGCAACATCCCTCACACTCTCTCCGACCTTGATTTTCTCAGGTAAATTTTAATTTCCCCACATTACCCTGTTTTTCTTCTTTGAATTCAAATAAACAATTCCAGTTTGTGATTGGAGATAGTTTTCTTCTTCGCAGGCACCTTGATCTCAGTTACAGCTCATTCTCCGGTGAAATTCCGGCGACCTTCGGAAGATTCCGATCACTGGAGTATCTGGTGTTAACGGACAACGAGCTGAATGGGACCATTCCGGCCTCTCTGGGTAACATAACCAGTCTGAAGTCGATTGAACTCGCTTAAAACCCATTCTCGCCGAGTCGACTTCCGGCAGAACTCGGGAACTCGAGAAACCTCGAATATTTATGGATAAGCGGGTGTAATCTTGTGGGCCCGATTCCAGAGAGCATTGGGAATCTGAGTCGACTCACCAACTTCGACGTGTCCAACAACCAACTCACTAGTGGTTTACCAAGCACGATTTCCCAAACGAAGAGCATCGTTCAAATCGAGATATTCAACAACTCGCTCACCGGCGAATTGCCGGCGCGGTGGTCTAATTTGACCCGGTTGCGGCGGTTTGACGGGTCGATGAACAGCATAACAGGGACGATTCCGAGCGAGTTGCCGCTCGAGTCGCTGAATCTATTCCAAAATCAACTCGAGGGTTCACTTCCGGAGGGCATTTCTGGTTCCCCAAATCTACGAGAACTGAAATTGTTTCGCAACCGACTCGGCGGGTCATTACCGGCCCAGCTCGGTGCCAACTCGGCGTTATGGATACTTGACGTCTCTTACAATAACTTCTCCGGGACGATCCCAGAAGAACTCTGCGAAAAAGGCTGTTTAAGCGAGCTCATACTGATAAACAACTCCTTTTCCGGGAACATCCCTTCGAATCTCGGCCGGTGCCGGACCTTAAGACGGATTCGTTTGCGATCTAATCGGTTATCCGGCGAGGTACCGCCCGATTTTTTCGGGTTGCCCCTCGTTTTCCTCATAGATCTGAACGACAATGGATCTTCTGGAAATATATCAGGGAAGATATCAGGAGCGAAGAACTTATCGAGCCTTCAAATCTCCAGAAACAAATTCTCCGGCTCCATCCCCGGCGAGATTGGAACCTTGGTGAATCTAGTCGAATTCTCTGCGAGCCAAAATGAACTCCGAGGAGAACTTCCTTTGGCATTGATGAATTTGAAGCAGCTCGTGACAGTTGATCTGAGCAACAACTACCTCTCCGGCGAAATTCCTGGTGAAATTCATTCATTGAGTCTGCTAAGCGAGCTTAATTTGTCTGGCAATCAATTATGAGGCGAAATTCCTACTGGAATTGGGAATTTACCAGTTCTGAACTATCTCGACCTCTCCAGAAACAATTTATCTGGAAAAATTCCTTTGAGTTTCCAGAATCTCAAACTCAACCTGTTTAACTTGTCGAACAATCATCTCTCGGGAGAAATCCCTCCCGTTTTTGAGAACAGCATCTACTCAGAAAGCTTTCTGGGGAATCCATCTTTATGCAGCGGTTTATGCCCCGCAAGAACTCTTAAAGGGATACATGAAAGCTATATATGGCTGGTAAGAGCCATTTATGTCACCACTGGAACCATTTTTCTTCTGGAAATCATCTGCTTCATATGTAAGTTCAGGAGACTGAAACAAGCATCACAGCAAGGCGAGACATTATCGAAATGGACATCGTTCCACAGGTTCAGGTTCAGCGAATCCGAGATCTTCGAATTTCTGGAAGATTCCAACTTGATTGGGAACGGGGCGTCAGGAAAAGTCTACAAGGCTACGCTGAGCAACGGCGAAATAGTTGCTGTCAAGAAACTGGAAAACAAGGATGAGTTTGACATTGAAGTGGAAACATTAGGGAAAATCAGGCACAAGAACATTGTGAAACTATGGTGTTGTTGTGATGCAGGGGACTTCAAGCTCTTGGTGTACGAATACATGCCCAGAGGAAGCCTTGGAGATGTGCTGCACTGTAACAAAGGCTGTGGTTTTCTGTACTGGCCAGCCAGGTTTAAGGTGGTTTTGGATGCAGCTGATGCTTTGGCCTATCTGCACCATGATTGTGTCCCTCCTATTGTTCTTCGCGATGTCAAGTCTAACAACAATTTGTTGAACGAAGAGCTTGGCGCGAAGATTTCGGATTTCGGTGTGGCCAAAGTTGTGCGAGGCAGTGACAAAGGTTGTGTTGAGTGCATGTCTGTTATCGCTGGTTCTTATGGTTACATTGCACCAGGTACACTATTCCTACTTTCATGTTTACTTCTTAAGATGAAAATCTCAAATAGAAAAGCTTGCAATAGGAAGAGTTAGTAGGAGGTGATTAGACAAGACTTAAGATTTCAAAATCTAACCGAAAATATGATCTTAGATAGGGACTTTAGAAATCTAGTATTAGCTTAGTTGGGTAGGCTTAATATGATCTTAGCTTGCTTCAATATCATGATAAAATTCAAGATGGGGTAACTGGTAAGGGACACGGAACTGGGTTATAAGACACTTGGGCAGAATCACATTAAAGGATTGAATCCAATCGAATACTAGTTCAGTTCAAGAATTTATGAACCCATTATAAATCTTTTCTTTATTTTCCAAAGTGAGATACTCTAACAGTATGATTGCTAAGCCAATAGCTACAATGTGGTTCCAGAATACGCATACACATTACATGTGAACGAGAAGAGCGACATTTACAGCTTCGGCGTCGTGATGCTGGAGCTGGTGACAGGAAGACGGGGCGTGGAGGTCGCGTTTGGGGAGAAAGATTTGGTGAGCTGGGTCAGCTCAGTTCTGCACAATAATGGAGCTGATAAAGTGATTGATCCAAACTTGGATTCCAGTTTCAGAGAACACATGAACAAGGTTCTTGATATTGCTCTTCTTTGCATCGCCCTTATTCCGGCTAACCGTCTGTCCATGCGCACAATTGTGAAATTGCTCCAAGAATCAAATGTCAAGTGGAAATATTAATTGAAAAATGAGACTTTAATCAGGAGAATATGATAAGGTTTACAACTCTTACAGACACACTCATTGAAGGAGTGCACAGTTTTGTATGTAATGGGTGGAAGAACTGAGTTGAGTTGGCAAATCACATAGTTATGGTGTGAATTTTTTATATTTTTTTCTAATTTTTTTGTAAATCTAACGGTTAATTTTTTTAGACGACGAAGTATGTACTTCCTCCGTGTAAAAAAATTTCTAGTTTGACATGGCACAAAGTATAAGAATAATAAAAAATATATAGTTGAAAGTGATGTACATAAAATGAGAAAAGTAAAAGATTGTGAGTCGAACAAAATTCTACAAAAAAAGAAAAGCAGATGCTTTTTTTGAATGTACAAAAAAAAAAGAAATTTTTGCACTAAATAGCACTAAAATTTAAGTCATTTTCCTAAAAGCATTTAAATTGTTTTATTCCTTAAATAGCACTTCATAATGTCCCTAAAGAAAATAAGGAGTTATTTTGGACGGAGGAAATACATAAAAAACTCACAATAGCAAACAAACTAGAATGATATGAAAGTACTCCCTCTTGGTTAAAGAATGTATTCCTTTCCTCCTATTTGAATCTTTTTGATCTGTATTACAATGATTGACCAATTTTATTTAACATTCAATTGATTTGATAGTAAGTGTAAAATTAAAAAATAAATATTATATACTTAAAACTATATTAAAAGATCTACAAAACAAGATATGACATTATTATATTATGTTATCAAATGGGTAATAAAAATAGAGAAATAGAGTATATATAAAATTTGACCCTGTGAATAGTGTAGAATATTCAACTAGAACTAAGAGAGTATTAAAGAGTATAACGTTTATTTAAAGAAAGAAAAATTAATTTGTAAGACAGTGTTTTTTCTAACACAATACTTTTAATTGATTTTTGTTTATCCGTATTTTATTATAAACTTGTACTTTCATGATCTTATGATCCAAATGTGAAAAGTTGACTCCTCATACTTTTAGTGAGCCCACATGAGGACGTTTTGTTTTTTTTTTTTTTTGAAAAACTCAATTCATCCATTGTGGTTATATACTAAAGTTCATAAAATAAGTGTGGACTTTATGAGCATAGAAAAATTTGTCTTAATGATACAGAGTATTAAAGATTATTGATTTTTCATCCTCAACTCCTAAAAATCTTTTTCAATATGGGAAAAAGATTAAGGTAGAAATAAAACATTAAAAATATATCAAAATAAAAATTCTTTTCTTTTTTTCTGATAATAAAAGTTAAAATGCATATAAAATGTCAATGATATCAATATATAAATTCACAGTTAACATTTTGCTCTGAGGATAATTTTTGTTTATTTATATAATTTTATTGACTGTTCGATAAAATAAAATATTATTTTTGCATCTTGCGATATAATTTAATTTTGAAATATGTAATTTATATTTTAAATTACCATACCATTATAAAAACAAAATCATTTACAAATCATAGAATAATTTTCTAAGACTATTTTTAGGATGAAAGAAGTATAACCTCTGTCTGGGTATGCTCTACAATTTTGACTATTTTTAGTCAAATAGTTTTTTTCTTTGACTACAAATTAAACATAATTTGAATAAATAAATGTTACGGAGTAAAAACATTGATATATCAAAATTATATCCAGAGATTAACCTGATTATATTGAAGTTATATAAAAATTAAATATAATTTTTTCATAATTTATGGTTAAAGAATGTTACTATTTCACCAAAAAAAGTCTAAACATGAAACATTTTCCGGTATAAGAGTAGTAAATAATTTTGAAGTGAAACTATATTTTTAAGCCAAACGAAGCTTGATTTACTAATTTTAGGATGAATAATAGAATAAGGCAATAAGGGTCTGTTCATATAGGTTGGAAAACTGAATTTCCAACTTTTTTCAACTTATTTTAATTTCTAACAACAAATTTCAATTTCTTTCAATTCATTATAGTTACTGCCCACTTCTTCTAGTTTATATATATATATATATATATATATATATATATATATATATATATATATATATATATATATATATATATATATATATTATATACACATACATACATACATACATACATCATACACACACTCACACACACACACACACATATATATATATTATGTGTGTGTGTGTGTGTATATATATATATATATATCTGTGTGTGTGTGTGTGTGTGATGAATTTACAATTATATCATAAATCTAAACTTATAATATATCATATCAAACACGGGCAAAGATAAATTCTTTTTTATCCAAGAATAGTTTTCTTATATATTTATTTAGATGATTATATATTTAATTGAATGAATTTTTAAACACTTCATTTTTTAACATTTCCCAAATTCTTTTAATTTTTCTAACGTTTTCCAGTTTCTTTCCATTTCTTCCAAATTTTGTTTTCAATATTCAATTCAGTTTTTAGGACCTAATTGAACATAGCCTTAAGAGTATAAAAAAGGCAAGTTGAATTGGAAAAGCGAAAAGAATAGAGAATTTGGCATAGGCAGGGAGTGCCGAGGGATAGACTTGAGTTCGATTTCGGACAACTGTGTTAGGAGCAACTATGGTTAATATAAGTTTTCTGCAAGTATCGAGTGCAGGCTTGTCACTGCCACTAATCTATAATTTAAATCTAATTTACATCCTCTCAGTGACTGTCTGATCGGATTTGAGGAGACGGATTAAAGGAATAGAGAAAGGATAAAGCTATTTGTACCCCATTTGTACACCGCAGGTTTGCACTAACATTTTGTGTTGGTGTAAAATTAATTTTTGTTAATTCACCAATACTTTGTGTCCGTGTAAATTTTTGTTAACGCACCAACAGTTGTGCCGGTGTAAACATCAAAATGTTTGTGTATTACTGCGGTGTACAAATGGGGTACAATTTTTGGTGTAAGTGTAGCATGGCAGGATATAGCTATGTGTACCCCAAATTTTTGTACCCCATTTTGTACATCGCAGGTTTGCACCGATATTTTGTATTGGTGTAAAACTAATTTTTGTTAACGCACCAACACTTTGTGTCCGTGTAAATTTTTGTTAATGCACCAACACTTGTGTCGGTGTAAACCATCAAAATGTTTATGTATAACTGCGGTGTACAAATGGGATATAATTTTTGGTGTAAGTGTAGTGTGACCCATAGAGAAATGATTAGGCCAAGATGATGTGACGCAATCACTGATATCATAAAATTGTAGGTAGATCGTATAGAAAATTTACCCTGAGAGAATATTGACTTTTGTCGTCGCCTAACCAGCATGGACTTTGTTCCTCATAAAAATAAGTACTCAAACCGACAAAACTTAATTGTTCACTTTCTTATTAGTGCTATTCATTCCATTTATGAGTAGTTAATTAATTGCTGTAATTTCAAGCATATCATTGTACAATACAGCTTTCGGTTATATCATATTATAATCACTTGAATGAAACACCAAAATTGACACTAATTTAATGAAGACATTCACACGTAAATGTTGCACATAAAATCTTAGGGCACGCAAAAAATGGTCAGTCCTAGTGGTGGATAAATGTAGAAATATTATTAGAACTAAACTGAATGATTTTGTTGGGTAAATAACGAACAACGGAGCGTGACCAAGCTTACGAACAACCAAAAATTGATGACGACTGACTCACACGCGGGACGACTAGCAAATGGATAGAATGTTACGAGACTGAAGCACGATTTTGCGACCAACCCCATGCACAAATATACTGGACCAAGGTGCGACTATGTGACCAATTAACCTCACAAGCAAATAGCCAAATATGTCGGACTGAGGTGCAACTATGCAATCAACCTCAGAAATAAACATGCCGAATATGCGGCTAGTTGCAATTGAACATACCAAATAGCAACAAAAAAACAATGTCATCAAAAAAACGTCACCAACACTGGCTCGGTCTGAACATGAACACCTTCTTTGCGGAGTACCCACGAAGCAAAACAAAACCAATGGAGCAATTTGCTGCACAAAATTTGTGCAATTTTTTCAAAGAGCAATTAAACATGCACCAAGATGATATTTTGCAAACAATACCAACAAAACCTTCAAATTGGCCGCTCTAGATGACAAAAACTAACAAACATAATCATCCGTTAATAATAAATCATCGAATACTTTTTTAGAGTTTTTTTAGATAACCCTATGACTTTAATTGAGAGTTTTTTCAGTAACTAAATGAAACGACAAATTCATTAACTAAGAGAATCTCTAATGTGAGATGGTAAAAATGAGTTATTGCAATTTGAATTGTTAACATACCCCCCAGGAATAGTATTTTACCTATTAAGATTTTTTTGTTTGCTCCAATCATAATTGCTAAGATTAGCCAAACTATACATATTTGGTGTTTTGCCAATTGCCATATTTACCAAATGTAATTGGTAAATATGGCAATTCCAATTGGTATTTTACCAAACATGACATTGTTTACCAAACTCATTGGAGCTCAATAAAAAAAGGGTCGGTATATGTGAATAATAATTACTACTCCCTCCGTCTCACTGTCTTTGTCCACTTACCTTTTGGCACACCATCCAATGTACTTCTTTAATCCATTTTATCTCGTAATTCGTATATTAAAAAATTATAGAAATTATATATTAATAATCTATATGTTAAGACGAATCAAACAAGATCACACATGACTATTTTTAGGCTTACACATTGAGAGAATTTGATGAGTCAAAGTGCTTAGATTAACAGTTCTAAAAGTCAAAAGTGGACAAAGACAGTGGGACGGAGGTAATATTTTATTAATTTACCAAACCTACTGGGGTTGCTCTAAGGACTTACTCCTTATTAGGAAAAATGTCGTTCTAAAAATGAGTAAGTATAAAATGATAGTAGTGTTATTGGGCTCATTTACTTACACCAGTTTGTTTGAGATATCTAAGATGTACTGATGGTAAAAATGATGATTTCTACCCCACCTAATGCCACTCTAAACCCCCACCCCAACCCTCTCCATACCTTTGTCAGTATATTGTTAGGACTTGGGATAGGAAAGGAGTAGGGGAGGAGAGGGGGGAGATTAGGAGGGTG